GGGGGGGGAGGATCGGGAATAGCAGCAGTTGAGGGTGTTTGGGTGGTGCTTCGATAGGAGGAGGTTGAGAATTTGTGAAATCGTCAGTTCCTCCTTCCCTTCCTTCACCGGAGGTCAAAACGAGAGAGAGAGATGAGTATGTTCTTTTTTCTTTTTTTAGATTTTTGTAATAAAAAAACTGAAAAAAGAAAATACCAAGGCTAAAATCGTCATTTATAAAAAATCAAAACAAGATGGACCAAACTTTCAACAAAATGAAACTTTTGAACCACCGTTGCGAGTCCAAACAACTTGTTTGAACCAAACTTGCTAGTTTTGACATACCACAGGTACCATTTTTGCAATTTTGTCTTTATTGATTGTGTAATAATGTTTATAATTATATTTGGATCTATATATAGAGTTTGGTATTTGATTTCGACCATATTGCTAAATTTTAGTAGTGTGGTTATTTAAAATTACATAAAAATGCAACAATTAAATTGAGGAATAGTTTTAATGATTGTGTTTTTTTACTTAAAAGTTGTATTCTAAATATAAAATCTATCTTTTTGTTAAACTATACTTATGAAATTTATAGAACAAATAATACTTATGAATCCTTTATAATGATTTTGCATATTAATAATAACATAAGTTTGGAGTTAGACCTTATGAAAAAAATGTTTGAATTAACACATATGAGGTTAAATAAGAATCTTAGAGTTCGAAAAAAATGACCCAATACGAATACAACCTAGTAACTAAAGGGTTCGACTGAGATTTTCAACGTGTTTAATCAAACGGGTCAACCAGTTTCACATGTTTAACTAAGGTGTTGTTTGTTTTTTCGAAGCGAAAATTCATGAAGTCTGCAGACCACCTCTGCAACCCTCTGCAGTAGAAGAGGTGGAACAAACGGCTGCAGCGTATAATAAGAAGCATGTTTTAACATCTGCAGACTGTTTGAAACTTAAATAAGCTAATTTTATAAACTGAAAATAGCTCAACACTGAAATTTTAATAATTATAGTCTTAAAACATTGAAAAAGTACTAAACAGAACATGTAAAAAAAACAAATATATAAAACTTCTAAAAAAAATCTAAAAAAAGCTATCAGTTTTATTTTAAAAAAAAAACTAATTTTAAAAAATATAAAAAAAGAGAATAATAAAAAAAATTAAGAAAGCATTGCAAACGATGTCTACAAAGTTCGTAAAAAATTACACACGTTAAAAAAGATACAACTGAAACTGAACATATTATTAACAGAACCTGTAAAAAAAAATCAAAGATTCAAGTTATAAAAAATTATGGAAACTATAAAAAGAAATTGTATCAAATCCGTAAATCAAAGTTAAAATAATAATAATAATAAGTTATACCAAAATTCTAAAAAAAACCATTTGGAAAGAATGAAAGCTAAAGACATTTGAAGAGGTAAGTCAAGTGTTGTGTCGTGCAGAACACGTGAAGAGGTTTTGTAGTCTGAAGTCTTGCAAAAAAAACAAACTGCTCCGAGAGGGCAAGTGTTGCGCGTGTGCTGCGCTGCGCAGCAAAAAATGATTTGAAAAAGTTTTTTTAAAAAAACAAACAGCACCTAAATGAGTTGTGTAGAATTTTCAAAGAGAATCTTGAAACCCTAACAAAATATTCAAGGAGTAATATTATAAAAGCCCTAAAATTTTAACGCGTATTTGGAAAAAAACCCTAATATTTTTTTTTATTGTTATGGCCACAACTTTCTCGCAGAATTATCACTCTAGCCAACTTAACGAGTTTCATGGTTAATTTGGTTAACTTTTTTGCAAAATCAGTCCTAAAATGTTTAAATTTGGTCCCTTAGGTTTGCAAAAATTTACACCACATTGTTTTTTAAACTTTATTTTTCGTTTTGGAATACTTTATTTATTTTCGGTTTTTTTATAAATATATATACATTTTTTATTTTCTTTTTATATATATACTTTATTTATTTTCATTTTTTAACTTTATTTTTCAACAATTTAATTTTTTTTACCTATTTACCTTTTGTTTTTTTATTTTTTAGTGTATATATAGAGTATATTAGAGTTTTTTTAGTTTTTTTCATATTTTTTCGTATTATATTTCAATTTTTTCATCTTTTTATTTTTTTTCTTATTTGTTTTCCAATTATTTTTTTTATTTCTTTTGTATTTTTAACTTTTTATTGAACTTTTTCAAAAAAAAATTAAATGTATTAGGATATTATAGTATATTACAATTTTGATAATTTTATAGTTTTTTAATTTTTTTATTTTTATTCAAGTAAATAAAATAGTTATGTTTATATATGTAATTTCGGTCCAATTTATTTTCTTTTTGTTTTTTTTTAGTGTTATTATATTTATGTTACGAAAAAAACGAAAATTAAAAAAAAACTAGCTTGTTTATTGAGAATTAGTGTTTCAGTGTATTATATAACTTGTAAATTAAATCATATTTCTATATGTGATATCAATAGTTTAAATTCAAGATAACATTTTTCAATTTGATAATAGAC